CTGCTATTTCTTGCTGTCCTGCGCTGAGACCCGGGAAGCGTGAGTCTGCCCACGGGGGGAGGGTGACCGGAGCGCAGAGCGGCGTCGTTTCCACGGCAACGGGCCGGGGACTGCTGTCCCGGCAGCGGGCGGCAGAAACAATGTGTCCCACTCCTTACTCTATTCGGCGTGCAGTATACCTTCACTTTTTTTATTTAATACATGTATCAAACGTATAAAGCCTTTACAACTACCACTCGAGGAACAGAAACAGATACAAGAGGGAAAAACAAACAAACAATGAGCTGCCAGAGATGATGAAGTAAATGATGTGACCAAATTATATTTTTTACATACTGTATATCGAATGTTATCTCGCCTAAGCACTTTTCAGATTTATTATAGAATTTAAATAGTTTCGACTCCATCTTAAAAGTACTAAAAAAGGGAGTAGTATTGGACCATTTCAATGTTTGAATGCGAAATGCACCCAGGATGACTAATTTACTATAAATAAATACTTTCCCCAAAAAAATTTGCTCAGAGTACAAGCAATAAACCTTCACTTGTTCCTTCGCAGCTCCCTGTGGCGCTGGCACAGTGACACAGCCGCTCTGGGCACTGAAAGCCCACCTGGGTTCCCGAGTCCAGATACCTGCACCAGCGATCCAGGATTACGGGCTGCCAAAGTCAGACCAGTCTGGTGACTGTCGCTGCTCAGTGGTGGTGAACCCTGCCGGAAAGCCGTCCCCAGTGCTGCCTGAGCGGGCTCCTAAATGCTCTGCAGGAAGCGGCTTTTCCAGCGAATGGGTGAGCGGGCGTTAATTAGTGCACGCTGGTATTGCTCCTAGCACACCTAAGCCACACCACGAAGCAATACAACATAAAACGACATCCTGGGAGTAGGCTGGTATTTCCAGCTCAGCGAAAACCAGGACAGCATCTACAGTGGCCATGCCTGCAGTACTGGCATGCACCGGACTAGCAGGACACCTCAGTCCAGTCCGGGGGAAAAGACCCGCACGGAGACACACACGAGTTTATTTATCGCTCGGGCTTCTGCTTCAATCGGCATCTCAGCGAATCCACCTCACAGATGCTAAATCACACATAAACTTAGTAAAAAAAAAAGAAGCTATTTATACTACTGAATATGATCACCCTGTTTATTTTTCCCTACTAAGAGAAGTCACACATCTGTGCACGAATTCTAGGACAAAAACGTCGCTGTTGCTCGATCCAACTGAACCACAGACTGTAGTAGTTCACTCACTCTACAGCTGGCCTTGCAGACAGCCCTGGCTTCAGCAGCTATAGATGTTAAAATTAACTCCAGTAGAATTTTAAAAAATAATCACTTGTTTTCTTTCTTTATTAACACATACTGTGAGTGCAATTACGTCAGGAATGCCAGTAATGTCTGGGCAGGTCTGAGGCGATCCCAGTATCTCAGAGCACCGCAGCCGTTAACTGAGAGCACCTCTCAGGTACCGCACATTGCAAATATTTTCCCCTTTAATACCTTCTCATACGGCTTTAAAACATACAGTTCTGCAAACATCCTTGAATCCGTTCTCTTGCAAGTTAGAAACGGATGGACACGGGATAAAAAATGCATTAGTTTACTTTAAAACTTAGCAAGACCTCTTTAAAAACTTTTTTTTTTAAAGTTAAGCTCAGCAAACTTTATATCCAGTGTCATAATGCCTAACATCCTGCATTTATGCTTCACGGTGACATCTAAAAATATTAAGGACTTACTTTTTGGAGAAGTTCCGAGTCCCTTTCAATTCCCACGCCTCGCGTTACTCCCAAGCTCTGCAGCACGTTCTGTTTACGGAAACGTGATTGACAGGCCCCGGAGGAAGTCTCCTAGCAACCATCGAACAACAGAGCGGCCGGCCCTAACCGCTCGGCCGGCGGGAACGCCTCCGGAAGCCGAGGACGCTCGGGATTGGTCGGCAGAGCAGGGCGGGGCTAGAGGCAGGTTGCAAGGCGGGAATCTGAGCGCCAGAGCTTGCAATTTTTACCGTAAATCTCCTAGGTTTTCAACTGTAAATAACAAGATCTGCTCTCTTCCAGTGCATACATTTCACTCCAATGTTGAACCTGTTACCATTACAGTGCTAGCATATTCTTCGCGCGTTTTCCCCTTTTTAAATTATTTTTTTCTTGTATTTGTCTTTTTACCTAAAGCAAAATATGATACATTGCATTTTTAACCTTTCAACTGTGTGAGAACTGTAGTGCTCTGTATTTTAATTTGATATATAAAAAAAGGCTCCCATTATATTATATTCAAATATTTTGTTACAGCACCCTGCTGTGAATAACCTTTACAACCTTTTCTATAGTTCAGTAATTGCTTTGAACAAGTGTCTCCCTTCCAGACAAACAAATTTATCTGGCAGAGGCATATTTCCTGGTACATACACAGGGCATGTAAAAACTTTTACAGCTAAATGATACAGTAAACATCAGAGCACCAGTTCAACAGCTTTTAGACTAATGTCTTTTGATTTCTCCTCCAGCTCTTGAACCGCCTGTTCGACCTTATCAGCTGTGCAACAAATACTGAGTTGTCTCTAGAGACCTACAGCAAAGCCGAAATGAAAAATGATGAATATGCTTGAATGAATTGAGTAAATGCAGTTACCAAGCACAGGCAGGACTGTCCAGTCTTCAGCCTGGGTCCTGAAGGGCCAGTTTGTCTGCTTGTATCCTCGTTCAGATGGTCACTGGCGTAAGGTTTATCAGCTTCTTCCAGCTCTGCAGGTGCTGCTGCTGTAAAGAGACCTAGAAAACCTGCAGCCACGCAGTCCGTTTGCCCTGACCCGAGGAGCTACTCAACTGACTTGTCTTCAAGTCCAATGAACCTCTGCTGTAAATGACACACATTGCCAACAGCCTGAAGTCCAGGCGCTTCTGGTATTATTCAGAGTCCAAAAACTGGCTGATTGTTGTTTTCCAGATCTTTAGTCACTGCGCCTGTGAGTGACACAGTCAGTGCCACACACCGTTACCCTCATCACAGCCTTAGCTGGAGACGATCGCACTAGAATAACGGGAGGCAACTATTCAAACAATCTGCGTCATGCCCTGGGGGGAGTTAACGTAATCAATACCTGAAGGTATTGTGATTTATCATCAAACTACAGAGGGACAGAAGTTTCCGCAGTACAATCCCTCTCAGGTGAGCCCCAGCCAATGCAGAGAGGGAGAGGAAAAATAAGTGCAAGCCCACAACGACAAGGTTCAACAAAAACTTTTATTATCCTTTTTTTCTGTTTAAAGAAGTTACATTTGTATAAATTAAGGAAACAAATTTAAAACAACCCCAGTAGAAGCTTAAAAAGCCACTGGACAGATTCGAGTGAGCCCCTGGGGTTACTGGAACAGAGAGGTGCAACAGTCTCAAGCACCTCCTCACCCTTTGTAAGGTATTGGTGGGCACTGGCTCGCCCAGAAGCCCCAGGACTGCCAGGTTAGATCAAGCACCAGGCCACAGGTGCAGTCCCCCACCCCAGCACAAATCTCAAACCAAACGGCAGAAGCTGCCAGAGAGGAAAGAGCATAAAACTCAGACAGCACAACTGTCTTCATTATTTTACCTCAACCTCCAGAGAGCAGGTGGAGAAAACAAACAAAAGGGTTACACAAAATAAAAGCATCTGTGAAAAGAAAACTAAATTAGAAAACCCACTGTATAAGCTGTTTTTTTTAAAAAAACAAACAATTTAGTTGTCACATTTACCATCTCCAGGACTTTTGTCGAGAAGACAAAGTATCGGTGGATTTCTTTTTACACGCCTGTATGCTTTGGTATCGGCAAAGCAGAGCTAAGTACATTAGAATTACGTTTTAACAATGTCATCCATTTCCATACGCCATTATTGCTAAACGGAACAGTGTTACAATGGGCTTGTCACCTCCAAATATGTTCACATTTAAAACACTGGCTAGAATATAATATTATAATATGAATATTCTAATGTTAGAACAGCAACATCTCCTAAGGACAGATCTCTAGGGTGCTTAAAGCTCCAGATCACCAGATATTCGATTCACTCTTCCTCCTCCTGCTTGTCATGCGCCACATCTCTGAGGTTAAACTTTAAAGCTACTCACAATAAACAGGAGAAAACATTACGTTTTGCATGAGTTTATTTCACTTCATATTTTAATTGTGTGCCTTTCCAATGGTCATCTTCTGCATAATTTTCATTTTTAGTATTTTTAAAAAAAGGTAATAATTCTGTCTCACTCGCTCCATCTCACCTTTCCAAAGCTTACACTATAGGATTACAATATCTGTGACTTATGTACAATCTAGCAATAATGACAGATAGGAGTATCTAATCTAATTTTTGGTTGGCAGACAGATGGAAGCTTGGCGATACTCTAAGAATGTGGGACATTCTCTGTACTCTATTATAATTAATATGATCCTATGCTATGTAATCTACAGTATATCGTAACTATAGTTCTTGGTGACATAACCTAATGTCTATTAATGTTAAGTTCTTTGTTTCCAAATGGTGTGCTTTAGTGTTTCTGAGAATTTCAGGAAGGGTGTCAAAGGAAATAAAGGCCATTAAGTATCCTGAGAGCAGACAAAGAATTGCCAACCATAGTGTAGCACTACCCACAATGCTCTGTCCATGGACTTCAAACCGTATAGCCTGAAGGGCTGAGGGAGCAGTCGGTGGACCAATTTGCCATCTGCATTTCCCTGTAGCTTGGCTCAGGAGTTTTGGAGGCATCTATTCTACGTGACTGCTAGGAATCCTTCACACCACCAACAATACCAGCAAGCATAGCTTTTCCTACAGCCTCCTCTGCTCGAGACCCCCTCTGCTTTTTCTTGTTGGACTGGTACGCAAGTGGACTGATGAAGATGAGCACAGAAGACAAGTCAGATAACATCAGATGGCACAGGATGAATATATGTGTTAAGTGTGGCTACCTAAAACTTCCTCAGAGCTGGACAGGGGACAGCGGATTGGGAAATATCATCAGTGTTACACTTGGTGCTTCTCATCAACAGTCTGACACTGAAATACACAGCTTGTACACTTCTGGGCGACTCTGAGAAGTCTCTCAGATTGGGGTTTCAGAGACAAAAAAGTATTTAGAGTGGAAGCAGAGTGGTTTGAAGGAGAACCAGTGAGAAAAACCTCACTGCTTCTGAAACAAGCCTTAGAGCAGAGAGTGACTAAGAAACAGGAGGACACAGACAGTAGAAAGTCAAATCAAGAGGACGTATAAACGTTTGTTTGACATGTTTGAGCTCTGCAGTTTCAAATGGGTGACCTTGCTTAGTGGTGCCAGTGTGTTCTTCTCCCTTTCCAGGTCATGATAACTGAGACGAGGACCATGGCAAAGGGAAGTCAAAGAATGCTTTTGTTGAAGTGTTGCTTTTCCAAACGTTTTAGTGTTTCACTACTCCCAAACATTTTACCTTTTTGTTTTGAACTAGTGAACACTACTTTCATGACACCGTCTACCTATTACCAAGCAAAAAGCAATTCTTTACAGAGGCCAAATAAGATTGTTCTCCTTTTTTAAAAAAAATAAAAGTGCCACTACAACTTGGAAGAACAAACATTTTTTTGTTTTTTCTTTTTTCTAGAAACAATTTAAAAATGAGATTTCCAATCTCTCCTCTAGAACTGCACAAATTAACTATGTACAATAACTATTATTGTAACTGTTACTCACTTATGGTGTTGCTGGTTTCAGAAATATTCCCAAAGACCCAAAGACCCTTCCAGATATACAGGCCTAGATCCCCGGTTATAGGAATATTAAACCAACTTTGTTACTTCCTTGCAATTCACCACCAGTCTTACTAAATACATACCAACTAATGGAATCGCTTGTATAATTTTTATTGTCTATAATATGCAAACTGCTTGCCGTTCAGTCTTCTCTGTACCCGGTCTCAGTGTAATAGTTGTCCTCTAAAACTCTTTTCCCAGCGCGTCACCTCCTGCTGGATCAGGTAGCCCCTAGGCTCTGCTTTCGCTGGTATTTTAATGAGCACCTGTTCACTGGAGCAGTACGATCCAGCCTCATTACACAGCCTGGGTGACACACAACAGAAGTCAAGGTTGCTTATTCTAGGCTGATTGTGTGATGTACGGCGCGGAGCACGCTGACAGAGCCACAGACTCTTGGCATTGCTGGTTAACTCATTCCCTCTAAACAGTTATGCCACCTGCCTTGCTTTTCTTCAGCAAAACACACTGAACATCACACTGAACATTGTGTTCAGTGACTTACATGTATATTACTGCTGTAAGTCATAGACAGGTCTGAATCCTGCAATTAATGGACTTGAATGATGGTTGCAGTCTGCGTTCCTGTATTACCTGCACGAATCCCATAAGCTTTGCAGCAATTGAATGTAAGCGATCTGCCTGAAATGAACAGAACTAGACGAGCTGTTACTGTTTGTACAGCTCTGGAAACAGGAGGAAGAATGGCAGCCACTGTACAAGTCGCAAGCCCAGCTTCAGAGTCGGTACTGAAAATCTGGGGTAAACAGGTTTTCAAAGTTGTAAGAAGGCAGCAAACACCAAATTCTTCAGATACATTTCAAATATGTTTTGGTTCACCTCCTTTAAAATGTATTATACTATCAAATTATGCGCTGAATGTCATTGCTAGGTACAAAACATAAGGTAATAGGCTTGTAATAGTTTTTTAATCGTTTACATTTATTTTCTTTGCCTTCCTAATTGTTAATTAGATTTCTAATTAAATGTGACCTCAAACGCTGCCTTTAAAGCTTTAGGATTATTGAATCTGAAATGGGAAATAACAACCAGACGTGTAAGCAATACCATGGATAGTGGTAAACACAAGGGCTACTTGATAACAGAATATGGAAATTGAACTAGGAGTCTGTTCAATAAAGAGGGAATGAGTCAATAAAATCATTATAATTTTCACATTTGTTTCACATCTTGGAAGCTGAATTTTCGTGCCTTTAAAAATGCCCTTATCTCCTGAAAGATTACAGAAAGGCAGCTGCCATTGTATTGGTAAGCATTTGGATTTCGATGGGTTCCTGACATTTTTCATCAGTTTAATCAAGTCTTGAAGAAATCTTGTGCTGTTGGTTGGACTAGCGGCATTCATTAGCTCATCATCATCAGGGATGCTTGGGGAGACTATCAGACTCTCTGACTGTCTGAAGCTTTAGCTTGAAATACACTGCCTTTGGAGCCATATGCTAAAATGCACTCCTGTTTATTTGATACTACAATATAGCATTAGCTTTCGTTTAATGAATTTTCAGTCAAACATTTTAGGGAAACGCTTACAACTAGGCATGAACCTCTAAAACTGTTCCTTTAAATGATGCTTAGTTGCTAAAATTGGAAATTGGAAGTAATCCCCTGTTGAAAAGCGATAAAAATCCAAATTTATTATAAACATGAAAATGACAGATCTATAACAGATTTCTAAGGTGTAACACTATGGTTTTGGCTCAAAGGCACACACTTGTGTACTGTACAGTTTGCTTGAATCCAATTTCATTAATTGTGTCCAGGTGTAAATAATTGTTTAGCAAACCGTCAAAGTAAATGATCACTAAGATGTACTATTGAGAGCTGCCTGTTTAAATAACATGGCATCACCAGACAAACACAGCCAGCTGAAACTGCAGGCAGTGGAAACGTGAGACACTTAAAATGGGTTCAGGGCTTCCCTTTTTTTCCAGAAAAAAAACTATTAAAATAAGGAAATTCCAAACAATTCTATTCACCAGGGGCATTATCTCAATTTGTTTGAAGGATGTTGCACACAACCTTTATGTTATATTTTCTACCTGTTTCCTGGCTTAGATTGCAATACCAGTATTGTAACACAGCCCTCTGCAGGCTGTGAAGGGCCTAAATTAAAGCTCAGCCAAATTCAAAGCTCTAACTAATGAGCTGGCGCACACAGAGAAGTCATTCGCACACTGGGAAAAGTCCATGCTAATCAAAACAGGGCAGTCCTTCAAAACTGAAGAGAGGTGAATTCTACCATGTTCCGTCACAGCAGGTCACAGTGTGCCATGATTGTGAGTGAGAGCACAAATAATGACGCGAACACTGTTCAACTCCACTCGAGGACCATTCAGAAATACCTTACTTCTCTACGCATGGAGCAGTGAGGAACCTCTGCACAGACTGATGGAGTGGAAGCACAGCTGTGAACATCTGGCAGGTGCCACTGCTCTCTGCCTTCTGGGTCTTTTGGAAGAAATCAGAAAACCCCATAAAATATTGAAAGAAAATGAGCCTGTCGGGTTTTTATGTTTCAGTGCAGAGCCCACAGACTGATTTGTTCGTAAGTATGTTAAAGTGCTTTTTACAGGAACAACTTACAGATGTTCACAGACAGAACAGCCCCTCATAACCAGGCAGCTGCTGTGTGAGGGAAGACACACAAGTCAGAGTTTGCTACCTAGTACAAGATGCTGAACTCTGCATGCCATACAGACTGACACTGCCCCCGTTTTCTTAAATGGCTGACAAATGCCACCACTGCCTCTGCAGCATGGTCTTGTCTCATGCTGCAGGCTCTCCGGGTCTCTGTTCTGTAGCTGTCCGCCTCAGCGTGGAGAGAAGAGCATCTCGAGTCTCTCCTGCCTGGGGTCCGTCTCAGCGCGTAGACGCACGCGGAGGGTGTTTCAGACGTCTGTGAGCCGGCGACAGGCTGTGGAGAGACGTGCCATGTCTCTCCATGCACACCGGCTCAGCACAGAGGCTCCCTTCGCGTATCCTGCTCCAGTGCAACGTGGAACGGATAGAGGAAAATTTATAGACAAAATAAAAGCAAAACAATGACCGTGGCATCTGAAACACCCTCTATACTGTGTGTGTATACAGAAATATGTACAGGCACACAGTACAGTATATACACATATGTACCATCTATATGTATTTCAAGTGAGACATTCCCTCTTCAACTGCTGTAGAAACTCCTATGTCCGTCACCAAGGCCCTTGAACAGCTCAGAAGATATCAGGGCACACCTTCCAGTCCTGCTTTTCTTTGGCCTCCCAGTACCCTCCCTTGTACACGTAGGATGCCTCTCCTGTGATGACGTCCACCTTCTTCTCAAACCACAGGGGCTGGTAGCCTTCATATTCTCTCCCTGCGGAACAAGAACACCAGGATCACCAAGGATGTCCACACTGGGTGGCCAAGCCCCCAGTCACTCCCCCACCTGGTCAGCCGTGGGTTGACACAGGAGGTCAGCCCAACTCAGATTTCCTAACCAGCAGGTACACTTCCTCCCGGGAGGCTCAGATCATTGCTGGAAACAATGTGTAAAAAACATTTCACTTGTTAAAAAGCTAAAAAGCATTTTAAAAAAATGCAATCACCCATTATTTCATCTCACCTCTAAGCCTTGTGTATCAACAGCTCACATGAGTACTAAGAACTTAAGAAAGAAATTTTAGAACGCTCCCAAACAAGGTGCAGCCATTTGGTCCTTTTACTGAACTGATTAATGTTACACATTTTTGTGCTTCTACCTACAGCATGACACAAGAGACAAGAGACAGGCAGGCACAGCTCGAGCTGGGAAGTGAGAAGCATTCTTACAAGGAGGTGGCTTATCACACACATACACATTAGGGAGAACAGTCCTGGTTTTCCAGTGCACTTCAGGAGGGAGGAAATCTAAGTCACCATCAGACATGAATCTGTCCTCAGTCTTCTGCAGTTAGCACACCAGCAAAGTGAGGAACAGGGGGCGTGTGGGACAGGCCTAGGATACTGCCACTGCTGAGCTCATGGGAGGTGGTGAGGCTGGGGAGGGAAAAACTCACTCACTCTGATGAAGTCCGGCCCCGGTAGAAAAAGAAGACAAGACGCGATCTGAGTCGTCTCTGTCTCAGTTTGGGTTTACAAAGCCATACAACTAACGGCAGGACAGGCCTGGCTGCCAGCTTCCAGCTTTGGCCAACAGATCAGTGAGGAGGAGCTGTGAAGCTCTACAGACTCGCTGCACAGATTCGGGAGCAGGAAGATATTTTTGGAGATACTATGATGAGTACAACAGTGCCTCCACAGTCAGCTAATCATCTTTAAACTGCCAACCGTGCTTTAAGGCAATTCAGATAACAGTGTGCTATCGGTCAGAAAACCCTCGACCCATCTCATTCCCTGGTTCCTGATTTCTGACACATGGCTGCAGCCCAATTCAATACCCCTCACTGTACAAAGATAGTCTTACCGGAAACACAACCGATTTTATAGATACCTGCTTAACACGCCATACAAGAGCTGAACTGAACACTGAATTGTTAGGTAACGAAAGGGGAGTCCCTGAGCAATGAAAAACGAGAAGCCATTGAGATCCCTGGGATCAAGGTCTGAAAAACAATAGCCTATATTGTTAAGTAGAAGAAAAAAAAACTCCAGACCAGATCACACAAACGTTACATGAAAAGCTGTATTTTCTCTGGGTGGTGACTAACCTCACTCTGGATGCACAAGTGGGTGGAACAACTGGAGTAATGCAGGTGAAAAGAACAAGAAGCGTTAAAATACATAAACCCTGTGCCTGGCTTGACGTGAGCTATGGGTCAATGCCACGTCAGGCGCCACACTATTGTTCTGATCGCCGATTGGTCCCCGGGCAGCCAATCCCTGCTCACCGCCGTCCAGCGCGTCGGCGGCCTCGGCCTCCCGGCGGCGCCGCACCGCCCGCTGCTTCTCCTCCAGCCGCTGCTTCTCCACGTTGGCCTCGTCCCAGCGGCCGCCCTCCATCAGGCGCTGGTCGGGCCGCAGCCGGCTGTCCGTCACGCACACGCCCTCCTCCGGCTCGTTCAGCGTCAGCGCCAGCTCGGAGAAGTAGTACATGTTCTCCGCGTTCTCCCTGGGGGAAGAGACGCGCACTCAGGAAGCGGCCAGCGTGGCGGGAGGGGACCCTGTCCACGCAGTCCCCCGGCTCCAGCGCGGCGGCATTCTCGCGCCTCGGACAGGCCCCTCATGTGTTGCTTCGGTGGGTATTCCCCGCGCCCGTCCCCAGCTGTCATGGAGACGGCGGTTTGACCCCGCTCGGCCCCGAGGCGTGCCCCAGCTCCGGCTCTTCCCCGTCGCCGTGCTGCTACGAAGCCGAAGACTTCGACTGGCGCGGAGATGCCAGGAGTTCACTCGAGGTTTGAGACGGGCCGTTTCCGGAGAACACTGGGAGAGGACGCACACCAGGTTCGTCCCCCACAGCGTCCCAGACTCCAGCACTGTTACAGAGGGTTTTATAGTCCAGCCACAACCACGGTCACCCTGTATTATTACCATAAGTGGGTGCCGATGAGGCACCATTGACAATCGTTTTGGGATCATGGTCCGCTTACGGCCCAGGTGCCACCCCTGAAGCGGTTATCCCCTCCCTGCAGTTACTCCTGAGGTCTCGCCTACAACAGTTATTTCTGACCCCGTCGCCTACAGTACAGCAGGCGTCGGTTTAAAGCACCCCAGGAGTAACGACGGCCTCTTGGATCGGACGCTGGCCTGGCTTGACCGTGCTTCTGCCCGGTGCTCGTGTTCCCCAGAGCTCGACCGAGTCTGCGCCGCCGGCCGACCCCGCCACAGGACCAGGACAGGACCGGGGCAGGCCGGCGGGGCCACTTACGGGAGGGGGTATTTCTTCCACAGCAGCTTGGGCGCCAGCGTCTGGTACACCGTCTTCTGCTTGCCCTCGGAGCTGCTGGCGCCGTGGCTGCTGTGCACGACCCTGGAGCACTCCATCTTCTCGTCCCACGTGCCCGACAGGATGTAGTGGGCCTTGCCCTCGCTGTCCGTCGCCACACCCGCGACCTGCGGCGGAGAGACGGGGGGAGGGTCAGAGAGGAGGGACGACAGAGCCCCCCCAGCAGGAACACCCCCTTCTCCTGCCACTCTGAACTGTGAGCTGTTCCTGTGCAACGGCGGGGCAATCCGTCACACGAGATTAAAATCACATTTCAAGGACAACAATACAATTATTATTATTATAATAGTCTAAACCACATTTATTAACCTGAGCCTGACCTAGGAAAACACTGTTATCGGTTCTAAGCCTGAGCCCACTGTTTGCTGTCAGGAGTGGACTGGAACCTTTAAATCCCACATTATTTATGAACTGAAAAAACAGAGATTTACAGAGCTTTTTTTCAAGGTGTTTTCTATAAGTTGCAGTTTACATGGAACCCAGCCTATAACCAGGTAAAAAGGAGAGGTGTCTGTAGAAATTGGACTGAAAAATGTAATTGCTAGTCTTTTCCAGCAGGGGGCGCAGTTCATCTTTAACAAGTGAAGCTCGCGTGGCATTACAGTCGCCGGTTCCCGACGTTCGCCCTGCACACAAAACAGGGATTCTGCAGGTTTAAGAGGCACTTTTCAATTAGTATGAAATTGAGGCCCAGTAAAACACAACTGATTTTAAATTCTAATTAACTATTTAACTTCTTATCCATCTTAAGTTGTTTTATTAAGGTGCTACAGTTTGAGATATAAAGGATGCCAGAAAACGAAAAGCTGTAACTAAAGGACTGCCAGTGCTTGCCCCTGCTCTAAATCATCGATGGGCCTGGAGGCCAGATCATGGGGGGGAATTCAGGTGCAAACACTGTAAAGCCCAGTTTTAGGCTCGATTCTCCACTGCTCATCAAGGTGAGATCTGCCACTCGCTTCCTCCATCCAGCTCAGCTGAACTCACCTGTTCACGATCTTCGCCACCTTCGAAGGAGAGGCCTGAAGAGGCAGGGAAGGTCATGAACAGGGGCGTTGAGCCGAGCTGGCTGGACGGTAATCGATTGTTACAGTACGAAGGCGTCAGGGGTCAAGACAATCTTAAAGCTGCTTGGACATGCAAATGCATCGGAACCTCAAGTCTGCCAGGGACTGAGATGTGTGTCTAATATTTTTTGCCACAAAGAGAACAGTTTCTCAAGGGGTTGTGTAACAACTGAAGGGGTTATTGCAATTCATTGTGAAACTGGTCATTGTTATCGCTCACTCAAACAGGACAGATTTAAAGTTGCAGTGACATCAGCTACCCTTTTAGGCTGGAAGCTTCAGTACCAATGGTATTTATCAGACACCACCCCAACCAATCCATTTGCAAAGAAGCTTCTATTCTGTTCTGAATTTTACCTTCATCCTTTCACACTTTAGAACGGTTTTAAAGGTACAGTACTGTGCCACTGGAATGCACCTTTACACCAAGACCTGGAAAACACTTCTTTAATTGAAGTGCCCAACTGAGTGAAGATGGAAATAAAGCCCACAAAACACCACAATCTAGAAAGAGTCGTGTGTGCAGAAGCCAAGGCAGATAGACGACTTCTCTAAATCAGTGCTGTGAGCCATCTGATCTATCGCACTGGCTGATAATTTTCAGACTGAAAGCCACACTCAAAGGTACATGGGAAAAAGAAAAACAACTAATTATCTTCCAAAATGACTTTCCTGTTCCCTGTCTACTGTTTCTTTCTGGCCTGCAAGGACAAAAAAAAACACCAGAACAAGAGCCACCTTTCAAGACACCAGCTACTACAGTAACTGCTTGTCAACAGAGTCTTGGGGAGGTCTGTGGTCTGCGTCAGCGTCTGCTTTGCAGAGCAAATCCTTAGAGCAGCTCTCTCCTGCCACAAGGAGCCTCTTACCTTGCGGGGGACGTCTCTGGAGAAGTAGCTGTAGGGAGAGAACTTCAGCTGGCAGGTCTCCTTCGTTCTGTGGTTGACAATGTCTATGTCGCCCGACTGCGGAGAGGAGCAACAGGCGGTGAGTCAGAGAGGACACAAGGCACTGACAGGCAGCCATTCAACTTGGGGCCTCAGCACTAACTCAGGCAGAACCATTCAGAGAGACCTAATTACTCATTTTTTTTTACCCCGCTGGCATTTCAGTTCTTAATTGCTTGTGCCTCCACATGTGATCTTTGTTGCCATTCATGCATGGTCGGTGACTTCATAAGCTCAGTACGCTCTGCTCCGTTCTGTCAAAAAGACGTCTCCAAGCAGAGAACAACATGGTTGGGAAGAGTTCTGAGACAATGGCATTCACTAATCCACCATGCTAACATATATCACGTATTAAAATAGAGTTATTTGGAATGATAGGTTTGAAGTGGATTTAACACATAATTCATCTAATCTTCTGGTAGCAAATCAGGCATGAGGTCAAGTCTGTATCTCCACAGACATCCACACAGTATAAACCATTTATCAAAGTAAATTAATCAGGAACCAATTAATGATTAAAACCCCAGCTGAGTCTGGAATCGTAAACATAAATCATAAACAAATGAGGCACTTCAGGCAGGTAAGCTTTTCTAACCATACTAATGAAAACTGCCCTGTCATTCTCAAAGTTAGCAATGTCTACATAAAAAAACAGCAGAGAAAACTCGGACCACCACAGTGGGACCACTAGTTTCCATCACCCACACTCGTCCAGATTCTCAATCCAGAGAGCCACACGAGGAACACTCAAGAGACACAGCAACGCTAACCCCTGCACCACCGAGCTGGCCATGACTTCAAGGCAGTATATTCAACTGGAAAACTCTGATTGCTTCCAAACAGCGCTGCATGCTGTCGAGCACTACAGAACAGAACGAACGGGACACATCAGTGCACCAAGCAGATACAGTACTGGACTTAGGGCTCCAGGACACCCCTGTGGGGTCTTGCAGATAAAAGAGTGTTTATAAGGTTATTTCTAAATCCCCTTTTGTGATCATTTTAGTTGAACTCTCGTAGGAACTCCCAAGCTGCGGTTGAGGGTTATAAATGACAAACGGCAGAGGCCCCCAGAGACACTGCATTCTAATCAGGTCAGCCTTGAATTAGCTGTCCCCTCAGAGGGCATATTTATAGAGAGGAAAGCAGGATCAGCCCGCTGGGACACGGCAATCTTGCTTGTCGGGGGTGTCCTCTACATGAGGATATTGGGCACAAAAGCTTATTGCCCCCTTTTTGTGAAGGAATTACATTCCTCATTTGACAAATTTGGCAGAGAGACACTTCCACTGGTCATGGGGAGCTGACGTCCTGAAAGAGCTACATCACAACTCACTGCTTGGCCAGGCTGGGTTGTTTGAAAGACCCCAGCAGGAATGGGTGTGAACCCGCTGAAGCAGAAAACTCTTCATAAATATGAGGTGCAGGAATTGTTTACTCTACTGCACTCATTTCTATTATTCTTTCCTCTTTGATAGCCATTGTCCATAGCAAAAGAAACCCTCTCAGATGGCTACCTGTGAAGGTATGGGGCCAGCAGGCCAAATTTGGGGTGCAGCGCCTCAGTGACCCCGTTGCTCAGTAACGACACGGCTGTGGCTGTTGTGGTTTTTGGCAAAGACAGCAACTTGGGTCAATGTGTCGGCACAAAGGCTTTTAATCTGAAAACGACGCTGAATGTATTTATCATTGTGATTAATTCTCAAAAGAAATCATGCAATGGCCAGGGAATTTCAGATCATGGGTCTTGCTGAGGAGGGGATTACTGAGAATCAGTGTGAATTAGGACAGAGGCCTAGTCTGGACTTGTGACTGTCTGGTGACAGAACTGAACCTTTGTGTCCCCTTACCCCAGCCCGCCCAGCAGGTGAGATCTGTTAAACACATCGGTATTTCTTAAGAACATCAACAGCCATGATGTTGTTTCTCTAAGCAGAAAAGACGACAAGCAGAGGACCATCAGAAAACCGCAAAACCATCAAGAACTGAAACGACAGGAGCAGACGGGTGAACGCCCTCCGTCTGAGCAGAGAGCTGCAGGGAACGCCCACCTGGTCAATCCACAGCTTCCCCACTATGATGTTGTGGACCGTGGATGTGACTTTTCTCCACACGTAGTGATTCCCGCTGGAGTGGAACTGTAAATGGATGGCACCTGGGAAAAGCAAACGGAAAAAACAAAAAAAATAATAAAAATCAGGGCAAGCCCACCGAGAGTGAGAGATGGCCTAATTCTGTCTCTCTGTGACACACGCAAGACGATCCCGGTTTTGTATGCACACGCAGCTGTTTGAGTCTGGCGGTGTTGTGTATTTGCACACAGCTTTATACTCCTCCCTCACTGTCGCTGGGTCTGACGGCGGCTCCCAGGCAACAACACTCCGAGACAGATGACGTCCGCAAGCCCTGGGGGGGCTGCAGTCGGCTCAGATCGGCGATGTTCTGTGCAGAACGCCAGGCAGTGTTGGGGCTGGATGGGACGCAGTGTGTCTGCTGTCAGTGCTTCACAGAAACAGCCAGTGTGTGTATCGAGAAGGGCCCAGAGGGCTTCAAAGTTTAAGTTTTGCACATTTTTCAAAGTTTTTGGTGGTCTGGCACCAATCAATTTGTCTGGTTTTCTAAGGGCGGCGTGCTGAGCACTGCAGTCTGTCAAAGCCAGCTTTATGTACCTTCACTGTGTGCTGCTACCTTTTCTTCTAGAGCTACTCTATACTCAACTCTGAACTTAGAACTTTCTTCTAAGAGATATCTGTATTTCATCAATATATCTGCTTAAACACTGAAAGAAGACTTTCCTTCATGATCGTTTTTAAATGTTAACGCTGAATGAGAATCATCACAGTATAGGGGGTACTATAAATGATTAAACATGACTAGAATTCATTTAGCAATGCTAAATTGTGTGTAAGTAACACAGAGTAGGTTGGAACCAGGCAGCAAGATTAGTCTGGCCAATGACTTATGGAAATGCAGTAAGATTACAGATGTTATTTTACAGATGTGGATTAAACAAATAAATATACAGTACAGACATAAAATGAAATCTATTTATCAGACTGAGCAATGAGAGCTATGACTAATGAGTTCTTCCTCAGCTATGCCTTCACACCCAGAGTTGTACTCTTTTATTATTGAATTAGATGGACTAATAGCCTGAAGCACTTTGAGATCCTTTACAATCATGAAAAGCTCTACATTGCTAATTTGATGACCTACAAGCACATGAAGAAGAGACTGCTTGATCTGGCATACTCCTCTTTGTTGTGAGCGGCTGATTTAGCAAAGAATCTAAAGCCCTTGTCACCCTTGTGAAAAATGAGTGTAGATCCTTCTGTCTTCCATTTCTCTTGTCTGGTGTTTGTCAGTATGTTGCGTCAGACCGCATTTGTACATTTGTAGCGATTGTCCAAACAGATTTTTTGTTTGTTTCAGGGAAGAATCTTTGTGTTCCGTCTCCAAAAGCAGAGACGAGAGACACCCCACTCTAGTGTGCCTGCAAGTTTTTTTGACAGCAGCATTTTGTTTGACAGAAGGTCATGGCTGTTCCCAGCAGCTGACGTTCCTTAAAACTCTGGGAGCTCTTGCGAAATCAAACAATTTCTTAAGAGCAACTCCAAAAGCCCTTGAGGAAAAGCAAAACGGAGAAAGAACTGTGGAAATTACAGAAGAAGCAGCACTTTTATAGATTTTTTGGTTTACTTCGAGCACGGATGCTAAAGATTGATTTAGTGTTTCCCAGACTAATAAAGAATTACATGCCTTCCTACGGGAAAGAGGAAGCCTTGCGCCTGACAGTCTCATTTTATTGCTTTTCCAGCACGTGTGTACAGATCATACAGTAACTGTCATAGCCGGCATAGAGCACAACTTCCAGACTTTAGAACT